AAAGAATCCGCCTGCCAAGGCAGGGGACACAGGTTCAATCCCTGATCTGGGAAGATCCCGCCTGCCACAGAGCAACTAAGCCCAAGCACTACAACTACTGAGCCTGCGCTCTAGAGCCCACGAGCCACAACTACTGAGCCTGCGCGCCCTACAGCCTGTGCTCCACAACGAGAAGCCCGCGCACCGCAACAGAGTAGCCCTCACTCGCCACAACTAGAGAAAGCCCATGTTCAGTAACGAAGACTCAATGCAGCCAATAAATAAATAATTTTTTTTAAATTTTTTTAATTAAAAAAAAAAGAATTCCAGCTCAAGAATGAAAGAACTGGGCTATGATCACTCTGCATTCTCTAATGAATTGATGGATCTAGGACATCATGGCTATAAAGGGCTGTTGACAGGGAGAGACGAATGGATGCTACATGCTTCCTAATGAAAAACACACCACACACACCAGCCTCTGGTGTGAAAGGACTGAACCTGAAAGTGATCAAGCAGCCACATCCAGCTCCCAATTTTCAAGACATACAGAGGGGAGAGGAGCATGTTACATGACTCCACAGAGATGCAATCAGCGAACTCTGGGAAACTCTATAAGACAAATGACCTGGTTTCTTCAACAGACTGCAAGGGAAAAAACAGATGGAGAAGAAGCTATAGATAACAGAAATTTAAGAGAAAAATTAGCTAAGCTCAATGTGAGAATTTTATTTGAAACCTGATTCAAGTAAGCAACAACCAAAAAATTATGATGTGGAATTATGGTGACTAGAAACTTAACGCGGACTAAATATTTTAAGATATTAAGCTATTACTGCTAAATTTTTAATGTATAAAAATGGCATGGTATTATAGTTATGTTTTTTAAAAAGAAGCTTTGTATTTAGTAATAAATACTAAAGTATTTACAGGGAAAACAAATCGATGCTGGTAGAAATCAAGTCACAAGGATGTTCTGAATTTTTACAAAAAGCAGGTACCCTTGTGTTTTAAAAACAACAACACTCTATGCATCACAGATATGATTAAACAAATACCAATACTGAAAAGACCAGAGTAATCGCTTCTCGATGGCTGGGAGGTGTGCTTGGTGGTGGGAGTATAGGGGGGCAGGTGGCCCTGCATGTGCTAGAGTGGCGGCAGTGCAGAGGCTGTGAGAGGGTCTCCAGCCCACAGCACAGCAGGATGGGGGTCAACGCTGGTCTGAGGGTCTGGACAAAGGCGGTCCACAGAGGGCCACTGCACAGGAGGTGCAGTGACAGTGATGCTGGCTCTGAGGCTTCCCCGCTGCATCCCCTCTCCAGCAGTCCCCACACCTGGCGCCCCCCTCCCTGCACCCCCATGTGTGGTGAGTGGAGCCTTCACGCCCAACTGTACCAGAAAGGCCTGCACAACTCAGGACAGGGTTCCAGACACAAACCTCAAGTCTCAACCTCCAGGGCACCCTGAATTCCCCAAGCTTCTTGCAAAGAGGGCCACGGCCAGGCACATGGCCACAGATGAGGGGCTGACTCCATGTAATTAAGCCGCCCTCAGTGTAAAGCTCTGTGGGACCCCTGTGCAAGGTTAGAAGGCCTAAGTCCTCTGTGCCATAAAGGCCCATCGACCCATGTGCCCACCCACCCTCACAGCACGGGGGTCACTCCCTGGACCCGGCAGGCAGCAGTAAGAGAGGAATGCGGGGCTCCCCCCGTCCCAGGAGCCACCCACTGGGACGGAGGTCTGTGAAGACAGACAGCCTGTCTCTCACAAGGCGGAGGGCGAAACATGCTCACTGCACAGCTAAGGAACCTGCGCCTCGCTCCCACCAACACTTCCCTTCTGGAAGCTTTAAGATGCTTTGAGGAAACCATCTCTGTACAAAAGTTTATAAAGCTAATACAAGTGCTCACTTCAGCAGCACATATACCAAAATTGGAACAATACAGAGAAGATTAGCATGGCCCCTGCGCAAGGATGACACGCAAATTCATGAAGCGTTCCACATATTTTAGCTGATTCACTTTGTTATACAGCAGCAACTAACACAACAATGTACAGCAATTATACTCCAAAAAAGACGTTAAAAAAAAAAAGCTAATGCAGGAATAAACTCTAAGATTCTAAACTACGTCAAACAGAAAATGAGAGTATGTCACCAAAATTATTCATTCACGTAATTATACATGTTTCTACATTTCCTCTAAGACAAAAAAAAAAAGCCAACTCAACTGTGTATATATAAGTATCGATAGTTCTGCCTGGTTTACAATGTTAAGGACTTTTTAGCCTCCTGCTTCCAGACAGATTTTAAAAATCAGGTTTATTTCACTATTTCACCAATGCATTTAAGTTCTTACATTTTTTTAATGGCTACATGACAGCAGGACTAGCCTGTGCCAAATATCAGATCTGAAGAAAATCTAAGTGAAGAAAAAAGGACCAAGCAGACTCTGAGGGGGTGACTCCCATGGCTGACTGGCAAGCGGTGGCTGGTCTCAGCGGCAAGTCACACACGAGATGCCCAGCAGTCCAGCAAGAATATTCAGGTTCTTGTTTGGTTCACCTCTGTCATGGACAATGCTTAGGTTACGAGTTATACCATGTCTATCAAAACATGATTAGTGGCCAACAAAATGTTACTATACAATAGGAATGAGTCAAATAGATCAAGGTTTGGGGCATGTCACAGGTGCCAGGAGGACTTCCTGGGGCTTGGGAAGTGCACCTCCAGGCAGGAGCCCTGGGTGGGAAGTACAATACAAAGGTAGGCAAGCGTCGCCAGGACTAAGCCTCACTGAGAAATAAGAGCATCTGCCTTGACTGCAAGTTTTGTTTCAAACACAAAAGGGTGGTGGCGCTTTAAGATTCTCAGAAAAGTTCCCGAATTCAAGATGCCGTCTTGTGACTCAAAGAGTGTCTGTGCACAGATGAAAGCACTGACAGAATCTTCACAAGAACCCTCAGTTTGAAAACACAGGGCTGGGAAAAGGCCTGGAAAGGAAAGATCACACACCCTGCTGAAGGGAACCCATGGAGGCCCAGCCAGGCCCTTCCAGCAGCACAGAGTCAAGACACTGCCCACCGTGCCCGGGAGGAGCAAAACCCCAGGTGTTAGCCCCACAGCTGCTGTGAAACAGGCCTCAGTTCAAGCCCGAGGCAGAGCAGGCCAGCGCAGCTGAGCCAGAGAGCTCTTCGGAGGGGCCCAGCTCCTCCCCACCATGGCCCTGCGCTCACAGCTCCCCTTTTCCACGCAAGAGCAGCTGCAGCGAAGTGGATGCTTCTGTTTGAATCTTTCTTCCACCAACAAACCCTCTACCCTCCCCTAGCATGTCCGTCCCCCCAGGGCTCTCCATCAAGGTCCTTCTTTCAGGGGTACCCACAAGCCCGGCAGAGAAGCACATGCCCTGGGTGGAGGTCCCCACAGCAGCTTCCCAGGTCAGGGTAGCTCTGACAATCACACCTGTCCCTACACCCAAGTTTCATTTTCAAGGTCACTTATTAACTCACACAGGGGCTTTGAGTTTCCCCCAACACTCACCATAAAGGGCTTTATCTTCTCTCTACCCCAATACTTGAACACAGTTTTCAGGAGTTAAACTGCCATTTTTTATACCCTCAGAGTTTATGATTTCCATTCAACAAACACCTGAAGGACAGCAAGATGCCCCCACCCCCACCATGGCCGAGATGCCCCTGGGTAGCTAAGATACCCAGGGCTCTCTTCTGACCCAGGTGGACTGCCAGCAACTGTCACAGTACATAATCCGGCTAGGAAATACCCTAGAGGAACAGTGGTTAGAAGGGTCTGCAATGATTAACATGCACTTGACCAGCAGGAAAAAAAACAGCCCCCAACTCATTCTGTGACCTTATAGAACCTCACTATAATCGGCGTGCCTGGGCCACCACCCCCGGCAGGTGCGCACAGGAGACAGGCAGACAGTCGGCACTGGGATACAAGGTCAGTCGCGCGCGTGCATGTGTGTGTGCGTGTGAGTGTGTGTGTGCGCGCGCACATACCAACCCTCAACCCCAGAGAACCCACAGTGCCAACAGGAAGACCTGGGAGCTGACCTCGCACCCCTGCATGGGAGACTGGGAACAAATGTGGCACCCCAGCATCTTCTAGGAAGATGACTAGGGAGGGTGAGCCACAGTGGGCATCCGAGGGTCTAGGACAACATGCAGAAAGCCCCTGGTGACCTACTACCACTTGAGGCCAGGAGGACCAACCACAGGCAAGCCTGCGAAGCCCCTCCCTGCACCCACCAGACCAGGCACACACCTGCCCAGACCCTCAGCTAAAGTTGCCCAAAGGCAGAGGCTTCCTCTGTGAAAACTCAAGCATCCATTTTATAATAACAAAGGCACTACAAACAACTGTCATTAATGATGAGCATAAGGCAATTCAACCTGTTTCTAAGAAGTTGGTTTGATTTAAGCACTGAGCAGGGATCTACTAGAAATAAAACACACACCTTGTTTACTCTCTGGGGATAATACTTTTGCTGTTCCAAAATCTGTGATCTGGATGTGCATATCTTCATTTAACAAAATATTTTCTGGTTTCAGGTCCCTGTGAAAGCAGATTTTTTTACGTTTGAGATGAAATATTTAAAACAGTAACATTATTACACACTAAATTTCGCTAAAACCAAAATGAACTGATTAATACCTATAATCTTTACAAACAACCAAGAATGCAAGTCTAAAGTTAGCACTGAACAAATATCAACTGCATATAATGAGGACATTCAAATTACATCATTTCCTAACTGCATCTACCATTTCAATAAACTTTTAATTGAAGTATAATCTATCATGCCTAACCTATAAAGCGCCTTTAAACCTTCTGTGGTATCATTACGCAATAAATGTACACCTTAAATTTATATATACATATGTCAACTATTTCTCAATAAAACTGGGAGGGAGAAAATGGTTAAATGGTAAATTTTATCTATTTTAGGCTTTTTTCTATTTTTTTTGTCTGCGCCGCGCAGCTTGGCGGGATCTTAGTTCCGACCAGGGATTGAACCCATGCCCCTTGCAGTGGAAGCTCGGAGTCCTAACCACTGGACCACCAGGGAATTCCCGGTAAATTTTACGTTATAGGTATTTTACCACCAAAAAAAAAAAATCAGTAAGAAAAAGAAAGCTTAAATGAACACTTTCAATTTGACTTTATTGGAAAATCATGGAAAATGATAAGTACACACAGAATCTACAACTGACAAAATAAAAGCACCAGTCAACATGGCTAAGAGAATCGTTAGTCTGGCAAAAAAGACATCTGACCAATTTCATCTGATATTAAAGGTCCACAGTCTCTCAACATCAGAGTAATGTGAACGCTTCTTAATTCTCACAATGAGGTATCCCACCCTCCATAAAAGAGACCAGAGCTGACCCTCAGGCCTGGGGAGCAAAGCCTGTAGCCTCCTGGCTTGGTACCTGTGAATGATGCCCTTGCCATGCAAGTACTCTAGGGCAGACACCATCTCAGCTGTGTAAAATCGGGTGCATGTCTCATCAAACGAACCAATTTTCCGAATGTATTTAAGTAGTTCTCCATTTTTGGCATAACTAAGGCCAAAATCTAAACATTGGATAGTTAAGGAAGAGAGCAAAAATCTTTATTTTAAACTGACCTTAACAGCCCAGTAGCAATTTTTTTTAATTAATTAAAACTGAAGGTACCTGTGGCCCGAGACAGCTGCCCCTCTTCCAGCCAGACCCTACCGCAACCGCTGGGTCTGCAGGGAATCCCTGGCTCCAGGACAGGGTCCCAGCGTGAGTTTCTCACCAACAACAAAAACACGTGCCTCTCAGGCCAACTGCCCCTTCTGGACCCCCCATTCCCAGAAGACATCTGTGGGCTCAGTGAAGGGAAGCCGCTAGAGATGGCAGTCAGGGCCTGTGGCCCCAACGCCATCAGCACACAGCCTCCAACCTGCACCAACCGCACGCCACATGCCGTGCTGAGTCCATTCACGTAAAGGTTCCTCAAATGAATGCTCCTTCCCAAGTATAAAGTGACAAGTTTTGTAAGAGAAATGCCATTAATAGATAAACTCAATCTATTTATTGGGCCCCCACTGGGGAGAGACTCGAGGAAAACAGTCATCTTTCCCTCGGACACCACTGCAGTGTGATTTGTTTTACTTCTGTTCTCCCTTTTTCTAAGAGGAGAAACTATAAATGGATCCCATATAACTGCTTCCTCCTGGAAGCACCGAACATCCACACCTCTTAATGGAAATCTACAGGTACTCTGCCACTCCCAGGCAGAGTGGCACCCAAGTCCTCACCCGCCCTGAGCATCGGCTCCGAGGGAGTAAGAGGTGACCTGTGCTCAAGGTGTCCCATCTGGCTTCTGTTTGCCAAGGCATTTGCCATCTCCCACCAAAGAAGATGCCTGAAGCTGCGGCCCAGGAGGGAAGAGACCACCAACCGAAGCTGCTCGAACCTGCCTGTGATCGAGCCCCACATGTGGCCTCCCAAGCCCTGCCAATTAGAAAAACGTTTAACAGGAAGCTGAAGCCCAAAACCAACCTTAGTTCTAGGGAATGCAAAGGGTCTCGGCCAGGGCCCCTTCCCTCCTCTCCTTGCTTTGATCCCTCCTCGGGGAAGGCTGGTATCCGTGGCCTCCTCACCAGCAGCCTGCAGACTCTGGCCCACCCAACCCCAAGCAGGGGCCCCGCCTGGACCTGGACCTGGACCTGGACCAGCCGCAGAGCCTCCCCACTCAGGAGCACAGTCTCCCAGAAACCAGCAGCCCACGTGAGAGGCTCGGCCATGGCCACAGGGCCTCTTCTGGCTTCACAGGTTTTGCCCCTTATCTGACTACTCCCTGAGTTCCTGTTTCCGGTGTAAGGGACACTTCTAGTTCTCTGCTCGGCTGTGGTGCTAAGTGACCGACAGGTTTTGAACATGACATGTAGATCATGGCTCCAAGCCCGTGTTCTCTCTGACCACACATGTTCCTCATTGCCCAGAAACACTCTTTCAGACCTCATTGGTCCATTTCACACCCTAGAACATTTCTACCTCCCTCAGCACAGCTAAGGCCCCAGGGCAGTGAGAGGAGGCTGCTCTCTCACAGGGAGCAAGTCAATTCCTGGGACGATGAGCACAGATCAGGCCTGTGGCAGAGCCTGAGAGCCTGATGAGCCCAATGCCTGCGCTTTGCAGAGGAACCCAGCCCAGAGAGGTTAAGCAACTGACTCAAGGTCACAAAGCCAAGGAGGGACAGGACTGGAGCCCAGCTTCCTGAGGTCTAGTGTGCTGTTCCTGTCCCCAAGCTTCAAGAGAGGACACACAAGGACAGGCAGGTGGGAGGTGGAGGAAGAACACAGGTTAGCAGAGCAACAGCCTCTGAAACCCCTCAGCCTTCATCCCTGCTGGAGGGAAAGGCACCCTGGCTGGCTGGCTGTGGTGCCCAGCCCTGTACTGCACCTAAGGAGGGAGGGAGGGCTTCTCTGAGCTCAGTCCTCTCTGGGGAGCAGGGATTGAGTCTGGTCAAACTGAACCTCCAGAGCGCAAAGAGGCTGCCAGTGCCCAGGAGGCCCCTCACGGATCTATCTGCCTGTTTTCAGGCTGCTGCAGGGGTGTCACCAGGCTCTGCCTCACCTGTCCTGAGAGTGTGCTTAGCCCAGTAGTCGCTGGAGGAGTTGCTCCCCTCTCTCCCCAATGTGTAAATTACGGCTAAAAGGAGGATAGTATGCACACTGGGGCTTTTATTCAGGCAGAGTGCTTCCTTTTCTTTATCTTTCAACACACTGTATATTACAAAGGATTTCCAGTGGAGCAGAAGTCCCCAGGTCTCGCTCCTGTCAGAGGTAAGTGAGCCCTTGCAATCTCCACAGGCTTTCAAATTTGTCTTAAAATGTCAAAAGCAACAGACACCACTGGATAGAGACCTAGAGTCCCTTCCACCTGCATTACTCTGGCCAATCCCGTCTGAAATCAGACAGCGAGCTCACTCATCTAGCCTCTGAGTGCCTGATCCTACTGAACATGACCTTGGGAGAAGATGAAGTCAAGTGTGTGCGACCTGCCGGAGCCTCCCAACCAACACGACTTATTCTCCCCAGGCCCTGTAGGAAGCCCAGGCCTGGGACTCCAGGAAATCTGGCAGCCAGAGAGCCCCACAGGCTCAAAGAGAAGCACAATCACATGGGTGCCATGGAGCACAAGGAGCAAGAGTCTAGGTGGCCTCAGAGGTGAGATACAGAACAGACAGGTCACTGGTGGCTGCTGCATGAGCAGTGACAGCAGACGGGGACATGGGACGATGCTGAAGCCAGGTGGAGAGGCAAACACTTTAAAAGACCTAAAACAAACCAACAAGGAACCCCCCTCCCTGCCCCACATGCTCTTGGCTACTAGACCACTTTACTGCTCCCCTTTACAGTGAAACCACTGGGAAAAACCTGCTGTTTGCCTTTCCTTGCCTCTGTCTCTTGATTGAGCCCTCCGCCCCACCCCCAGACTGCCACTCTCAACAACACTTTGCATGGGAAGCAATCCACAGGTCAGGCCAGGGCCCAGCTACTTGACCACTTGGCACTATCTGGCAGGGCAGCCAGCACCCTCCACCAGAAACCATCTGGTCCATTGCCCCTGGGACTCTGTTCTCTCCACTCATTGGAACTCTTCCCTGCTGGGCACCCTCCAGCCCACCGACACCCCAGCCCACCTCCCACCAATCTGCACACCAACCTGACTTCTCAGGCTCTGCAGGCAGCCACCCAGTAGCCCACTCAGGCCTCAAGTAGCAAGGATCAACGGATGCATCAATTACAGGACCACTGTGCACCCAGCTTGAGGCCCCACCCCCAGGAGCCAGCTTGACTCCATCCTCCCAGCTCACTTACAAGAGCCTTCCCTGCAGCAGCAGCCCAAGTGAGAGCAAATGGCTACCCTGCTCCAGACCCTCCTCCTGGACTCTGTGCCACACTTAGAAGAAAATCCAAAATTCTTGCCGGGACTCCGAGGCCTAAGGAGCTGACCACTGCCCAGCCTTTTTGTACCCCCCCCCCCCCCAT